GGCTCCAGGAGACAGTTGGTCGTTGCTGGAGGGGACGGGGTGCACGGTCCTTGTGGCCGTGCTAGGCTCGAAGAGTGGTTCCATGTACTCAGTGTGGAGCGGACTACGGTCCAGCCACCGCCTTGTGTGCGCTCGATTCCCCAAATACAGCGTGCTTGTGTTTGCCTGTGAAGGAGTGTGGGCCGGCTCCGTTGATGAAACGTGGCGCCTATCCACATGCCTCCCGGTCTTATTCCTTCGGGTCTACACTGGATATGGGGTGTGTGGATAGAGCTGTGGGTGGTGCAGCGCAAGCCACCCATGGTCCCTCTGTAGGCGCAGGCGTCCTGCGGCTGGCCACAGTGACAGGCAAATCCGAAACCGGATGCCGCCAACCATTGGACAAGTAATCACCCGTAAGCGCACTGTTGGAGCCGGTCGCGAGCCATATCTTGTAAAGTCGCAAATCGAGTATGGGGCGAGTTAGATAAATGCCAGACTGGAAAGCGAGACAGACCAACTGAATCCAACATGGTGATCAGTGACAACATTTTCGACAGCCAGTTCAGTGAACAAATCTCCTGAACCCCAGGCTATACACCAGATCAGATAAAAAAGCAAAACACCTCTTGATAAATAGGGAGAAGAGAGACGTGGCAAGTACCCGATTTAATGTAAATTTCAGTCTGGCTACGCGGTTTATTGGACTGATTTGACACGTGTAGCAAAGCAATCACCTGAACACCCCAATGTTGAAAACTCGCTGTCGATATCCTGTGGTAAAAATGAAGTACTACTGCGTTAGAAGAAAGTAGTATGCCAGGAACGGGAAAACGCGAACAAGGATGGGCGTGAGGCAAGACGTAGGTCCAAATAGCAATGATAATGTCCCAAGAAGAAACAGGGGAGCAGACGGCTGATTAAGATTGTATCAAACAACGCCCCGGGGCGATTGCAGGTGTACTCGGCATCCAGCAGACGAGTCACGGTGTAAATGGCTAGGTCTATGGCTCGCTAGCACAATAAACAGCTCTTCGCATCTCTTGAATTTTTGTTATTACGAAACATTCGCAACGATTACCAAGGGATCTAGTGGACGTCGAGACCTCAGACCGAAGGAACCGTGTCGAGCTGCTACCGAGATGGACAATTTTCCAGGAAGACGTTTGAACAGGATGTACGAAAGCAAGGGAACTTCCTTTGTGGAATCAGAAGGGAAGCAGCTTCGTGATTACAGTCGCGAATGTAACTGCCAAGACTGATGCATTGGTCGACTACCTGTATCTCCCCAATGATAAAAGGACAAGGGGTCAGTAAGCAGATAGTGGTCCAGTCAAAAACTGGCATTTTTAAAAACACGTTGTGGGATGGATTGCAATCTCGATCAGGACCGCGATTCAGTTCAAAATGAACTTCGGTTATTCGGCATCTTGAAATGTGTCATTAGCCGTTGTGACAAGCGTCACCCGCCGTAAGTTGTTTGATGTAAGGACAAAGACTTCGGTCCACACCTCAACGCCTTGGATTCAAGTCTTAGTTCCGCTAGCTACACCTGATGAAGACAACAGATACAGAATCGGTCGTAAAGCGAAGTTGCAACGTATATCCACTCTGAATTTCGAACATATAAAGTGTGTTCCAAGAGATGGGACTACTAGAGACTTTTCAGAGCCAATGTCTTCTTGTAACTGCCAAGTAACAAAACGACGTCCAGAATAAGTTAGAACCCCGGATAAACGGGCGGATCGTTCATTAATGGAATTGCTCACCGAACTCGGTAAGTTTGCACTAATCATCAAAGTGAGGTTGTCGGTAGTTCCGATGGGGATGTTGAAACTACGCAAGTACAGAAATAGAAATCTCAAGCTCCACGTTCTTCCTATAATTGGTTGTTTAGTGTGGTTCTCAATTGCAATTAAGTGCAGAAATGTCGCCGACTGGTAAGCTTCAAATAGAGGAAGTAATGAGGTGCACAGAGCACAGAGTGTGACGAAGGATAAGAATTACTGTATCACAGCAAACTTTCTACAGAAAGCGAATTCGAACAATTCAGTGCCCGGTCACAATGTGAAAGTTCGAACAGAGGACTGGTATGGGCTTCAGTCAGAGGATAGACAACCGCCTCAAACCATGCCAATATGCAGCAGTGTCAAAATACAAGTTGGCTGCGACCAATAGCAGATCGACCCGCCCGTGGTCAAACTCACGTTTGTGGAATTCTCTTAAAAGTGTGTGTGTGCATTGCTAACCACTTGGACAAAAGAACGAAGAAAGACGTTGTGATAGCAATGATCAATGGTTTCAAAAGGTTCATTGAGTCACCTTTTAAGTGGCAAGTTCATGTGTTTTCGTTGGTGCAAGGTGCATATATTCGGATCGCGGACCACGCAATGCCCAAATGAGAAGACAAAGTCCTCATCAAAACCTTTAATTGAGCCCCGGAAATACACCGTCCTCAACCGTTCCGAGCAACTAGAAAAGACCAGATGTGAGAAAACGCTCTCGCTGACTGGATCTAAGCCAAAAGGGTTGTTATTGGCAGACTACAACAAAAAACGCGCGCTTGTCCGGTGGCTCTTGGCCAATGATCTTCGAACTGGGTAGATCCGAATTATTGTTGACGCTACGGCGTGGAACTAGGCTCACACAGCACAAGTGACGTTGGTCAGTCTACTTTATAGGAGTGTGGACTAAAATCGGGACTTAGGCGCTTAAGGAGGATGAGAAGATGATACAACCGATGTCTAAATCATTGTGAGATGAAAATGACACTCCATGAATGAACAAATTATTCTAGAAGAGTGGATGATGTGTTGGTTAGACTGCGAAAATTCAATCAGCACGCTTAAGGCCGTTTATACACCACGGCACAATGAAACTCGCAAATATGTCCGGGCAAAACTTCGTGCTAGTCTGAAGAGAGACCGCGAATCCTGGTGGTCTCATCGTGCATCAGAGATGGAAATGGCCGCTGCCCTTGGTAACCATCGTAAGTTATTCCGGCTGATACGGAAAACGGGCAGCAGAAGACCTGGGGTTAGTGAAACTATACGTGACGAGAGTGGACAGCCTATCCACAACTTGTCAAAACGCTTGGAACGTTGGACTGAACACACTGAAAAGCAATGTAATCGGTCGGAATTGTTAGATTCCTCGCCGGGCACTGATCGCCCCGCTCCCTGGGATGTCCCTTTGGATCCACCCTCTCGCTCAGAAGTCGAACGTGAGATCGCACTCTTGGAATTAGATAAAGCCGCTGGACCAGATGATCTACCTCTAGTCCTCTTCAAATTCGGCGGACCTGCTCTTGTAGATGATTAATACGAGTTACTAGTGAAACTGTGGGAGCAGGAAACTGCCCCAACCGACTGGAGCCGCTCCGTCATAGTCCGAATTTTCAAGCGAGGGTCACGTTCGGAATGCGGCAACCATAGAGAAATCAGTCTGATCTCCAATGCCTCCAAATTACTCGCCTTCATAATTCTTCACAGACTGACTGGCGTTCGTGAAAGCCATATTCGTGAAGAGCAAGCCGGGTTTCATCGAGATCGTGGCTACATTGACCACATCTTCACTTTGCGTCGGTTGTTGGAGCACTGTCATATATTTTGGCGGCCCACCGTGGTGGGGTTCCTCGATATCAAAGTTGCATTCGATTCGGTGGATAGATGTGCACTTTGGGACTATCTACTAAGGAAAGGTGTACCTGAGAAATATGTAAATATCATCCGAGCATTATATGCGCGTAGCTCAGGCAGAGAGAGCGCTTACAGCAAGCTGTCGTCGCTCTTTAGTATCTCCAGCGGTGTGAGATAAGGATACCCACTGTCACCTTTCCTCTTCGACTTCGCTATTGACGAAATCATGGAAATCGCGTTCACAGGACACGACTCAGAAGGTGTGGATCTGCTCCCAGGAGAACGACTTGGAGTATGCTGACGATATTGCCCTAATCTGTGACAGCTCCCAGACGTGCCAAGCGATACTGGACACATTCGCACTGGCTGTCAGCCGCTTCGGGCTTTGCTTTGCACCTTCGAAATGCATAGCGTTCCTCCAAGATTGACCTGGACCGTCTCCATCGCTGACACTTGGTGGGGATCAGCTAGAAACCGTACAAAAATTCAACTACCTGGGAAGTTGTCTCAGCATTCGTGGGACTGAAGGTGAGATCACGAACCGTATAGCAAAAGCTCGAGGCGCTTTTGCTAATCTTCGCCACTTATGGCGCCGGCGCGACATCACTATCGCCCAGAAGAGTAGAGTGTATAATGCAGTAGTACGTTCGACCCTACTGTACGGTTGCGAAACCTGGCCCCTTAGAACAACGGACATAAAGAGGCCAGTTACGTTCGGCCATCGGTGCCTTCGCAATTTAGATCACATCTGGTGGGAATACCGCGTGAGCAACGAGCGTGTTCGATGCCTTGTTTACGGCACAGGAAAAAGAAATGAACCACACAGCACCGTTATTTCACGCATCAGGCTCTGATGGCTGGGCCACGTGTTACGCATGCCAGCTCACCGACTCCCGCGAGGTGCGTCGTTTGCGCGCCGGGGGTGTGGATGGAAGAAGAGGAGAGGTGGCCAAGCGATGACTTGGTCGAGAGGAGTGAAGGCCCTCATTTCGAAGCTGACCTCAGTTGGAGCGTCTCGGCTCCCTGGTTGGGGTCCGAAAGACGTTTGGCTGGATACACTTGCTGATATGGCTAGGAGCCGACCTCAGTGGCGTTCCTGTTGTGTGTTTCTTTGTCCCACCCCATCCCTCTTGGCCTCCCCTTCCAACCACGATCTCATTATTTGATATTTCATAATTTTGCATAGGAAATTACTTTTTTGTTGCATAGTAGCCGGCAGCTAGCTTCCCGAAACGATGCCCATCCGTTAGCGGTAGCTTAGCCGGCTTGCATCTATAGCATTTTATTCCCTCTTTTCTTTGAGGTATTGCGGCATAGTAGCTATGTTTCCCACCTCTAGCTAACGTGTATAGTGTGTGTGTGTGGCATCAAATCACTGTTATTTCAATTAGAAGGTTGATTATTACGATGAATGTGTACATTTAAAGTGGACGAAAGAAGCGATGGCAAACCGGAGCAAGCCAACGGAGACGGATGTGGAGACTTACCAGTGATAACTTTCTCGGGAAGCGGAGGAATGCATATGCACGGGAATTTTGACGTCAGTCTGGCGTGTAACCAATCAAAGTGCTTGTATCGACGGTTCACATGAGAAGAAGCCAACTGAAAGATGATGCGAAAGTGTTAATCAAAATTGTTGTCATGTTAATAGTTTAATAAATGGGATTCAATAGAAATTCGAGATTCGGTAGATAATTTCATTTGAACACAAAGTTATGGGGATCGGAACGTCTATCGATGTGATCCGAGCGTTTCGATACTCAAACGAAATCGGTATGTCTGTTCGATAACCGAAAATCCGACAAAAAGGATGGTAAACTTTGGCCGAATAATCGAACAACATAACAAAGGCACATGTAATAATCCGTAGCCAGTGAAATGAAAATTTAAGGCTGTACGAGGGAATACGAATCAACTCCGAATCAACTCCTGCTACTGCTACGCAAGATGCTGCGAACAAGTGTGCGTATGGCTCGAGACGTCGCATGACGTAACTCGCAGTGGGCATCAGTGGCGTGTTTATTGCTGTTATCTGCGGGGAAATAGCTGATTATGATGAGGAGCAGTGAAAACCCCAAAGAAGCTGCATTGCCAACACCATCTTATCTTGCACGATATTCAGTTGTTTGTGATTGCGTGTTGTTTATAAGGGGTGGGCACTAAGGCCTTGAATATCTGCTTAAGGCGTAAGAGTTGTAGACTAGGTCTCATCCCCCCCCCACATACTATTACTCCTCATTCTCCAGGCAACTGATTGTACGACAAAGAAACATCAGTTCAAATTACTGATGTACTGTTGTTGTTGTTGTGCAAGTGCGCAAAATAAAATGTATAGGACAATACCGATAAACAGCTGTGGTATCCGATGATTCAATGCAATGTGGCAATCGGTGCAGCTGTGGTCGCGCAGTCACGTGAAATGTGCAAATCGGGGAGTGCTTGTCTGTTGAGCAGTTAGGAATCGATATCAATCTGTTAATTCAGTAGGCAACACGAGATGGAAATGCGTAGTAAAGTTCCACGGTGGTCAAGGTGATCACCAATAGCGCAATGTGGATGGTGCGAACACTAGAGATCTACAGTGGACTCCTACGGAGTAAGTAAACGTGATCACGGGACTAGCTGTGTTGTGGTTCACTACAGCTAGATATTTCAGCAACATGGACAGTAGATCAATAGACTGGCAGGGGGCCTCCGAAGACGGATACTTTGTGCTGACCAGAGAAACTGGTACATAGTGTCCATGCTGGAATTCGAACGTGTCCGAACGCGGTATCGATCCGTCCGGGGCAAGGGACACTAGCCGCAGTTGATAGCCGTGTGAGGACCCCAATTCAAGACAGATTTAATTCCAGTGGTTGGTGCGTGTGTTGAAAGGCTATAGAGCCAGTATCGCAGTATCGCAGTTGACACACTATCGAAGAATCAGGTAATTTCTGCTAAAATAAGGAGCAATCGATTAGTAAAAGCCTCCGGGGGGAGTCATGAGGTGTACAAATGAGCTACTTGAGCGTTCTCCACATTAGTGATGATCGCAGTCGTTGTGTAGGCGTCATAAGCAAAATGGACGGTAGTTGATGGTGGAATTTATCCTTAGCAGCTTGCTAAAGCTCTTGGTAAAAACCGGAAAGAAGACTGTGCCTCGAGCGTCTGTTTAGTATACACGAGGCGGATTTCGATGGAACAGACTGAAGTTTCTGTGCGCCCATCGAAATCCCGATAACAATGCTATGTTGGATTAGCGGTTTGGAATCAAAAGAGGGGAAGGAAACAAGCTAACACTGTGAGAAGTCGCCTGGATGTGAAATTCGATACCGATCATTTGCCTGTGCACGCACGAGACCTAAAACACAATTCTTTAGGATGCACAGTGAGCAGGAAGGTATGCTACTAGCCGATGGGACCGACGATGTCGCCGGCGGGAGAGCCCTAATAGGAAAAAAAGACTTGGCACAACCTGATCAGTTGGAATGGAGAGAAAAGGACAAGCGCATGTGGCGTGTGAAGAAGACGATGAAGGGGAGTCGATATCAAGGTGAAAACCAAGCAAGTGCTTACGTAAAAACTGTTTTCGTGCGGTGTTGGAATAGGTGCTAATCATTCTTGACGAACGGTTCATGATTAACAAGCGGGGGAAATATACGCCATGTGATGTCAAACTGTTTCTTTACACAAGCGGTAGAAGAGAGTAATTTCCCGTTTAAATGATAACGACATGAATAGGATATGGTGGTGTGTGCAGTGGCGAGCAACCGAGCAACACAGTAAAAGCCTGGTATCAAACACACACAAACATACACATGCAACATCTATCGAAATGTAAGCCAGAGGAGGAATGAGCGTTACTGAGCCCGAGGTGCGCACACTACGGCGATCGCTCAGTGTGATACTATCTGACCGTGGACAGTAAAGAAAGAAAAAATAGGCATAAACAGCAAACTAGCGTATTGGAGCGACCAACTGCGAGGTTGTCTGCCCCATTGTACGCTCGAGCCGACGGCCTGTGGATTACAAGCTAAACGACGCCGGCATCACTAGGCCAACGACCGACCAGCCAGTGCGAAACCCATGGAGGACGGCGAAAAATATGTAGATATGACAAGCCCGATCAGTTGAGCACTCGGTATTCAGCGATAAAATGGAAACTGATAGAAGAGATCAGAGGTACTTCCAAGATATTAGCTTGTCCGAAATGCCAGTAAATATGCGTTTCGACGGACACATAAGAGGCAGGTCTACCTCATATTTACTCGAGAGGTGCATGCTCTCAAGAATATTAGCCATCAAAAAGATAACGAAGCTTCTACACCGTAACTTCATTGAACTTCTGATATCTCATGGAGGAATCATGCTGATGAGCTGCATGTTCAATAAGTCCGCCAGAAGAAGTCTTTCCTATCCTCACTATCCTTTCGTTTCTCCTCAGTACCATAACAATTTCGCAGCCACATGAAACATGAAAATAAATAAATAAACGTGTTATCTTCGAGCTGTCGAGAATAAAGCATTTATCTATTTATTTTCAGGTTTTAGGCGGCTATGAAAGTGTCGAGGTACTGAGCAAAAACGAAGGGGTAACGAGAGAACGGTAAAGCCTTCATCTAGCGGACTTGTAGAGCACATGCAGCTCTTCAGCATGACACCACTATGAGATATTGAACGTTCAGAGAAGTTACGGTGTAGAAGCGTCGTTATCTTTTTGATGACTAAAATCCTTGAGAGTGAGTCGGACACTCTACATTTCACCCCAATTCTTGCTGCATTTCAGTACGATTGGAAAGTCTTTACACTTCAGATCACAAGGAAAACTGAAAAAGAATGGAATGTTCATCATTCGAAATTGTCTACGTGGTGCTTTCCAAAAAGTAATAGCTCATCATCAGTATACACGTTACCTGAGGGTGAGAAAAAGAATTCAGTTAATGTGCCGCAAAACAAAAAGATAAGATACTAAAAAGATAACATCATAAAAGATACAAAAAGCAAGAAACGTAATGATAAATAGCATATTATGCATTTAGTATGGATGGACAAACAAACTCACAGTGCAGAGGTCACTGGGGCCGGCTCTTCACCATGTCAGCGAGTTCATTCAACCAAACGTGTTCATCGTCCTTCGGACCCCACTCGACAGTCGGGATACATCAACCGACGCCAAGTTCGAAGTAAGGGATTCCATTCCTTTTGACCAAGTCATCGATTGGCCTCCCACCTACGCGCGCGCAAACAACGCACGTCGCAGGAGTTGGTGTGCTAGCATACGCAACACGTGGCCCAGTCATCTGAGCCTGGTGTGTGATATAACGGTGCTAAGCGGTTCACTCGCTCTTCCTGAACCAAATGCGCGACGATGAACACATTCATTATTCACGCGGAGTTAACACCAGACATCAGCTAAGCTGCGAAGGCAGCGACGATCCAACGTGACTAGCCTCTCCATGTTGGTCGACTTGATGGGCCAGGTTTCAAAACCTTAAGAGGGTTGAACGGACGCTGCATGGTACACTCAAGCCTTCAGCAAGGGAGTGATGTCGCGTCGGCGCTATACGTGACGAAGGTTAGCAAAAGCACCGCGAGGTTTGCAGCCTCGACATCGATCCAACGGACGTTAATATAGCTGCCAGGTGCTTGAATTCCTGAACGACTTCCCGTTGATTACCCCTAAGGGTCAACGGAGGAGGCGGTCCCTGCCAATCGTGGAGGACTTTGCATTTCGAAGGAGCATCGCAAGGCCAAATTGACAACAAGTGCTAATCTGCTCTGTGTTCCGCAACACGTGTGGAAGCTGCCACAGAGTAGGGTAATGTCGTCAACATACTTCAAATCAAGAAGTCGGTCTTCAGGAAGTAGCTCCACATCTTGTAGGTCGTGTAAGTTGAACGCTGCTTCCATGACATCGTCAAATGCAGTTAAAAAGGAAAGTTGACAGCGGGCAACCTTGTCTCACACCGTTGGAGATAATGAAGGACGCCGACAGTTGACCAAAGAAATTCACACTGCCCGAACTATGCGCGCACAGCGTTCTGATAATGTTTACGTATTTATCCAGCACACCTTTCCTAAAAAGGCACACCTATCAGCCGAATCGAAGGCACCTTTCATGGCAAGAAACACGAAAACGCTAGGCCACCAAAAAACATGGCGCAAACATGTAATCGATGCAGCCCCGACCTCGACGAAATCTGGCTTGATATCTAAGAATCGAACATTCACGAGTACAAGTAAGTCTGTGGAGAACGACAGACGCAAGCAATTTCGAGGCAATTGAGATCAGACTGATCACTCTATGGCTGCCGCATTTCGAACAGGAGCCTCCCTTGAAAATTGGGACTATGACGGAGTGGCTCCAGTCTGTCGGGACAGTCTCGTGCTCACACAGTTTCAACAGTAACCCGTGAAATCATCTACTAGTGGAGGTCCCCCGAATTTGAAGAGGGCTGGGGCAATTCTATCTGTCCCCGCGGCCATATGCAATTTCAACAGTCTGATCTCACGTTCAACTTCGGTGCGTGAGAGTGAATTTAAAGAGACAGCCCAAAAAAGCGATAACAGATTGGTTAAACTACTTTGCAGTGTTCGGTACTATGATCCAAGCGTTTTGACAGGTTGTGGATGGGCTGTACACTCACGTCGCATATGGTTTTGCTAACACCAGGTCTCCTGCTACCTATTCCCAGTATCAGACGGAATAACTTACGAGGATTACTGACGGCAGCGGCTGTTTCCATCTCCGAGGCACGACAAGACTACCAGGCTTCACGGTCTCTCTTTAGGCTATCATGCGGTCTTGTTCTGAGATTTTTACGAGTCGCATTGTATTCGCTTTCAACCGGAATACGTCTGCGAGCATCCAGAAGATCCAAAAACTACATAGAGACCTAATGTCCAGGATGGAAATTTGATTTGTCTCATGAAGACATGCCTGCCGATAGTGACGTTTGGCGAAAATGCGACCAAGGATCTTTAACCGTGTACAGTGGGCCGTCACTCAGCCTAAATGCCAGCGTAGTTTGATACGCATTCAAAACACCTGACTTCGCCAGCTGGCTAATGTCAATCCGTTCACACTGACGTTGCGGACCTCCAACGAAACGCACCCGAAGGTCGGCTCAAACAAGTGCATGATCGGAGTCAACCTGCATGCTCCAGATTGAGCGGCAGTTTTGGATACAGCCTCTCCAGCGGTAACTGATCGCGATGTGATCGATTTGCGTCCACGACTGGTCCAAAGATAGTGGCGCCAGGTCACACTTTTGCGGATGCTGCGTCGAAAGTTAGTGCTTGCGAGAGAGAGACGATCATCTTCACACAGAAGTAACAACCGCTCATCGTTATCATTACGAGATCCCACACCATGTATGTCGCCCAGATTACGCTCAGCAGAGGACAATTTTCCGACTTGGGCGTTTAGATAAAATACAAGCACTACAGTATAGGTAGTCTTACTGTGAGGAAGGAGACCGTTAGGTTGGTGATAGAAATCATCTTTCACGGAATCAGTGCTGTACTTTGTTCACGCGTAGGCCGCACTGGCAAACCGGCACCATTTGTCCCGGTGTGACCTTCGTAACGTGGAACGAGTCAGCCAATCTAACGGTGCACATCCAGCTGCTGAATGGGATCCATTCAATCAGGGTAGCTTCAGCTCTGGGACTCAAAACAATGCCGACTGGCATTTGAAGCCACGTCAACTCCAGACGGGCGCAATGAGAATGTGCCGCAAGTGTCACATGTGGGGGATCGCAGAGGATGCACGGACCTAAAAGCTTGCAGGTGGTTTTCAGATAAACATCGATCGATAGGGTCTCAAGTGTTCGGGAAACTGCTGCCTGATGGCCAAGCTGTAGCAAAATGCGCATGGTGAGGTATGCAAGCCTTAGCGAGGATCGAGGACACTAAAGAAAAACGGATGATCTGACGTCGTCCGCTTAGTTAAACATGGACTTGTCGACAGGAATACAGCGATGCCCTGCAATTGTGTGTGAGTTGAAAATAGAAGACCAGCAACTATTGGAGCAACATGGCGGAGGACCAAGAATTGGGGGATAAAAGTGAAGTTGGGGCGGGACGATAATTAGCATCGTCGTCATCATCATCATCATCATACACGTCAG